GGCGGTGGGGTCCTGCCGGCGGCGGCGGGGTCCTGCTGGAGCGGGGCGGCGATGGAGATGGGGATGTGGCTCGTGGGTGCGGCTGGCCGGAGGAGGAGACGCGTGTGCCTGGTGAGATGGCTTCTCCTCCGCCTGGCGGGCTGCTGGCTGGCGCGGTAGGGTGGCTCTAGGACACGCGGGTACACAATGATTGAGAAACTGGAGTCCTCGTTTTGTTTATCCCTTGTACATTTCACAGACATGAAAATTGAAAAAGGTGAAATTTATGAGGAAAATCTAATTTCCCATTCCTGTTGAATGGATTTAGTTTGATATTGACCTGATTTTACCATGTGCCTGTTGAAGGCCTTAGAGTATATACTGTATGTTAAAGACTGTAATAACTTTAAAAAAAAAAATAGTTGATAGCCTAATCCAAATGTAAATAGAGCTACAACACATTGTTACTAGGCTACAACGCATTAATTCATGTCATATATTTTCATTTCTCTACCATTAGTTTTTAAGGTTTTCATTATTGCTTTTTTTGATATCTTTAGTAACTAATGAATTTAATTTTGAAGGAGAGTTAGAGAAAGTTTAAAATTTTTAATACATGTATTCAGCCCATTTAGTTATATTCTAAAACAACACTGAAGCATGGTAAGGTATAGAATACAGTCCATAACTAGTTTGTATAGTTTACAGTTTAAGAACAAAATTAACTTTGTATGTAACTCCTACAATGATAGATTCATTGTTAACTAATTATATTAAGTTGTTGTTGCTATGGCAACAAAACTACAACATGGCTACCTTTGTATACATTATTTGTGAAATTTTCACATGTAAATTAAAAGTGATGTGTAACAGTATGAGCTTGTTAAAGGTACAGTTCGATACTGTCAGATAAAGATATGATTGAATATTTTTAAAATCCCAAAGTCCCATGTGAACGCTGAATTTGTGTCTTTAAGGTCACTTTTTCAGTCAAGAAGTTTACAACACATGGATTTAGAGTCAGGTTTTATAGCTTGTAGAAATTGTTGTGTGGCAAGGGTTATTCCACAGTATTTTCACTTCAAAAACACCACAGCCTGTATTTACAACGTAGTGACCGGTCTTGCTTTCATTTCACATTCATTCACACAGTGGGAATTCAGAATTAACCCGTTTCAGTACTGTAGCTCTGCCTGCAATTTTCTTTTCTCCAGAAATTGAGCACTCGCGCAATTACGTTATGATCAGGGCTAAATAATTAAGCATATAACTATTTTAATACTAATTTATATTAGCAAAAACTGTACATAAGAAAAAAATATTGTGGAATGACCCTGTAACAGTGTTGAAGATACAAATATGCTGCAGTTAAACTGATTCAGTTAGTGTACGAATGTGTGAGACACACCTTTTTTGCACTTATGTACATAGTCCACGAAAGAAATCCTTGGAACTTATTTTGAATATAAAAAGTCTGTAATAATACAGGAAAAGTTTGTAAAAGAGATAGGTATTACTAAGGCTTTGAAAAGGAGGAGTTTTTTGCTATAAAACTTATCTGAAAGCATGATGTTGCTTTGCTGTTGTAAAAGCTTTGTAGTTTGCCATAGCTTATTATACAGCAGACTGATAACAGGTCAGCTCCAACCTGCAGCACAGAGAAATGGGAAACAGTGCTTAATTAATTAGTAAGGTCACTAGCAAAGATTTGAATTACTTTCTTTTTTAATCGGCCTAGATTTTCAGACACACCCTAGATCATGTCTCTGATAGGTTGTGTTCTCAGTGAATCCTATTAGGACTGATAGGTCCGTGGCAGCAGACACACATTTTTCCTAGCACCTAATCCTATTTCCAGCGGGAAGTGTTTATCTGTTAGAGGTGACTGTCATTGCAACGAGTGTTTTAAATCCCAGAGGGAATTTGAAATGTCGCAACTTACTGATTTTTATTGTCAGGGTTGGTTTGGGTTTTTTTTCCCACCCTTTTGAGGCAAGATAACAAAATGGAAGGGACTGGTGAGCGGTGGATGGATGGCGGTGGTTTTGGTTTGTCTTGGGCTGGTTTCCTCTTGCAGTAGACAGCCGTGGTGTTCGTTCAGGAGAGCCACGTGGCAGCCTGGTGCTGTCTGCTCGGACAGCGCTGCTGGAGGAGTGTTGGGGCAGGGGGGTGGAGGCTGGTTGTGGCAGCGTGGCCAGCTTGGTGCTTCTGGCTGGGCTTAGCAAGCCCCACTGACCTGCCACTCAAGGAGAGCAGAGCCGTGGTCCCCCAGCCTGCGGAGCAGCCTCTTGGTTGGTTCCCTTTCCACTGTGTTGGTGGTACTGCCAGGGCTCTGTAGTACCCAGGGGGATTTTGGAGAAGCTGAAGCATCTGTGTTGACCATTTATTTTTGATTGGAACGAGTTGTGTGGTTTGGGGTTTGGGGTTTTTTTCTTTTTGCAAAACCTGAGCCCTAGATTTTCCTCAGAAAGGTCCCTGGTTTTGCCACAGAACTGGTGGGTGGTAGCACCCGATGTCACCGTCTCCCTTTCCTGCCTGTTCCAGGGTTGGGGGCTGAGGTGTCACTGCCAAGGGCAAGCCCTGCTTTTCAGCCACTGCTGCTGGAATCTCGGAGGTTTCCAACTTCTCGTGATGCCAGCCCACATGGCACCGCGGGGTTTGTTTAAGCAGGTGGTTCGCAGAATTGGAGCTGTAGCATCATGCGGTCCCAGTGTCTTCAAAATGGAGAAAAATCAGGTGTTGCCTCTCTTCATGGGTGTTCTAATAACCTAGGTTTTAATATGAAATAAACAGCTAATTGTAGCCACCGTGCTATTAAGGCTTCCCTTTGCTGTAATCAGTTTCAATAATCAAACTCTTTCTCATTTCTAGGATTATGAGAGAAAAATATTTTGCACTATGTGAAATGAATCGTAGCTGGTCAAACTTCTTTTTCTTGGGGTAGGAGCATGATCATGACAACAATGCTAAAATCTTTGCTAGTGATCTTTACTGACATCCTCTATCATCAAAAATAACTCTATATGCCTCTCAAAAGAGATATTTAAACATGCAAAAATAACACAACTATTAAATAAAATGAAGTTATTTTTCCAAACACACAACAGAGAGAATTACCTGACACCGAATTACAAGGTTCCAGTTCTTTATTACTGTACACAGATGCTATTTGATAGTGGTGGAAGCCAAATGATTTTGTTGCCATGGCTTTTGTATCCTAGCAGATGAGGGGATGATAAGACCATTCTTAGATTGG